CCACATTCTTCACTACATGACCCACAAATACACCTCGGTTGTCTGCCGCCATTGACACAACTTGGATTCTCAGCATCTCCATCAGATAACGTTTGTGAAAGAAGTTTTGATCACGTAGCTATAGGTGGTCCCTATGTCTGCCAAGGCTCCTACTAAACTTTAAACCTCCACTTCCACTACGACAAATTCACGTCTCCGGGCTTTTCTTCGATTTTACCAACACAAACCCTATGTCCACCAAGGCTCCTACTAAACTTTATTTTCCTCCAATTCCACTAGGACAAATTCCCATTTCCGGGCTTTTCTTCGATTTTACCAACACAACTGGCATCTTCAACTCCAGCCATTTTCCTGTCAGACATTTTCTACACATTCTCTGTTCACATAGCTACCGGTACACCCTATGTACCCTAAAGCTCCTTCAACAATCACATCCATCTCCACTACTACCACTAGTACATTTTTCACCATTCCTTCTATTTCCTTTCTCTATCCGGCAGCTCAACTAGATCCTTTAAATTTTCCTCGAGTCCCTCCTCAAGGAATGCAATCACTTCTCAAGTGCAGAGGAGCCACTGTTAGGGTGACTGCTGGACATCATGATCTATGTGGTTGAAGGAGAACACTCGTGAGCCGACACTCTATCTCAAGCGCAGGCAATCTCAATGCTAGTGTGACTTTTTTTTGCTAGACATCATGCTCAATGTGGTTGAGGGAGAATCCTCATGAACGGTGCACTCTTTCGCCTCAGCAAATGGTGTGGAGTAAGTACTTGTCCACCTCAGCAAATGGTGTGGAGGAAGTACTTGTCCACCTCGGCAAATGGTGTAGAGGAGGTACTCCGCCGCCAAAATGGTGTCAATGGTACAGAGGAGGTACTTCTCCGCCTCAGCAAATGGTGTAGAGGAGGGATACTCCTTCGCCTCAGCAAACGGTGTCAAGGTGGTACTCATTCCCCTCAGCAATTGGCCAGGAGGAGGTAGAGGAGGGGTACTCCTTCGCCTCAGCGAACGGTGTCAGCAATTGGCCATGAGGAGGTACTCCACCACAGCAAATGGTGTACAAGAGGGGTGCATCTTCTTCACGTGGCCCTTTCCCTTTCTTTGAGCACAGTACTCCTCAATTGGCCCACCTACCCATACTTCATACAGACTCCCCTTGAGATCCTGCCCCTCTGTGGTTCCATACTAAGCACACAGACCTCCCACAGTTCCTTCATTTGTGTTGATCAAAATGGGTTTTGCCTTGAGAAGCTCCTTCACACTCAGATGACGACTTCCCTGTCGGATCAACCTCACCAAGTATCAGCTTCCTAATGCTCTCATGTAGTGCCCCTCAAATACCAGGTCAGGATCTGCTTTAGAGTACAGTGCACACACGTGACCAAGATGAGTTCTGCAAACTCTTGGTCAAAGCCTCTAAAGATCTCTACTTCCTACACTATGTTCTTCAGCTCATTTCACCTTTTTGTGTGTCAGACATATCTCTTGAGTGAGTGTTGACCGTCTCCGCAAACAACAAGCTGTACCTAGCGGCCCATGCACCTAAGTTACTCTTATACTTCCATTAAAGAAGGAGATATTGTCAAACATACTGGATCTACTGTAGATGTTCCTGTAGGAAGATCTATGTTGGGTCGTGTTGTTGATGCGTTAGGAGTACCTATAGCCCTAACAGCTAGCTCTTCACCTTCGTACCCAGGCAAGATGCGGCTATGGCTACCTTGTGGTCTTCGGCAAAGTGCTTGACACTAATCTTCAGCATCCAGCCGCAGAGGTTCTCTTTCTCTTCTCCAATGTACTGAAAGAATTCCAATTGTTTGTTTTTGTCCCTTTATCAGGCTTTATGTCAAAACATACTTTCAATCAAGAAAGAGAACGAGGGAGGCAAATAGGAGGAGAGCAGGAAAACGAGGACTTGGAGTTCGACAACAATGCAATAGCTCAAATGTGAGTAAAGCCAGGATCTGATCATCACAAGTTGTAAGGATGACAAGTATGAGCCTTAGTTAGAATTCATGTGCATGTTCTTGCTCCTCTCAGACAGACACACAGAGGGAGACAGTGAGAGAGAGACAGTAGAGGGAGAAAAAGAAAGAGCCCTGATCTCTCTCTCTCTCTCTCTCTCTCTCTCTCTCTCTCTCTCTCTCTCTCTCTCTCTCTCTCTCTCTCTCTCTCTCTCTCTCTCTCTCGTATATATATTTGACGATATATATCATCAAATAG